TTGCCCCATTTTCTGACCTTCCTTGCCACAGTTGTTAAGTGAATCACTGCAATTGTTAAGTTAGTAACATGGTTATTCAGTGAATCTGGCTTCTCCATTGAGTCTACTTGTCAGAAGTTCACAAAAGGTGATCACATGACTCTGGGGCACTGCACTCTTCATACATGCTAGTTACCAAGTGTCCAAATTTTGATCACGTAACCAAAGGGATGCTGTAAGTGTGGGAAGATGGTCATAAGTCACTTTTTTCAGTGCTATTATAACATTAGTCACTAAATGAACTGTTGTCAGTTGAGAACTACTTGTATTTTGTTTATTTAATTTTACTTTATGACCAGTCTCCACATTTACGTCCACTGCATCATCCATTGGTCATGACTGCCATTTGTGTGATTTTCAACCAGCTTGCGTCAACAGAGTTAATGGAGAAGGTGGAAGTAAAATTGTAAGTCGCAATCCCAATTGCTACCTAATGACCGTGTCACTCCAATTAATGACTGAAGGGGAAGTAAGGTCATAAACCAGGGGTGTCAAACACAAGGCCCGTGAACCGAATCCAGCCCACGGGATGCTTAGATCTGCCTGTGGAGCCCCTCTGGAAACAGTGAAGGACCAGCCAGAGGTGCCTCTGCCAGTGAAAACAGAGCTCGGAAAGTCCACACGATCATCCCAAGCTCCATTTTCGACTGTGATGGCCTACTGCAATACTCTACCAGAGAAAATGAAGTCCAGGAGGGCCGCACATAGCAGTGTGTCAGCATAACAAACCACTAGCAAAAGTGGCATTTGATCACCCGAGTGACATGGACTTGGCCACACCTACCCTGGCCTCTTGAGGTCAAACACAACCCTGATGCGGCCCTCAATGAAATTGAGTTTGTCACCCCTGTCATAAACCTATCGCAGTTGTCTGATTTTTCCATTTAGCAACTACAGTGCTTAGCAGTTGAGTTGCCAGTCACNGCAAAACTAAAGAGCAGATGGAAACAGGCCAACATATGCAAAATCGGGGGGCAAGAATGTACCCTCCATGAGGCATAAAGAAAAATTAAATGCAAAAGAGCTTTGTTTCTATAGGCTGGTTTTTGAATGACAGCAGGTGCTGTTGTTGTTGTTGTTGTTGTTGTTGTTGTTGTTGTTATGTTTTCTAACTTCTTATTGCTTGTGGGGGAGCCTTCTGTAGCTGCCCAGACTCCTTAATTTGAGATAGATAGCTTTTGAAATTCTTGTGATCTGGCTCACTTTCAGTTCTGCTTGATTCAATGAAACCAGTCATGGTGTTTGGCTCCCACGAAGTGATTAGAAAAAGCCACATCTTTTTAGCCAGGATTTTAATAATTACAGATTTTTAGAATGAAGGTTATTGTTAATTTGAATTGGGGGGGGTGAGTTTTCTATTTGTGTTTTCTAACTTTGATCAGTTTCCATGAACATTTATCAGAATAAAAAGGTAGAGGAATCAGTTGGATGTAATGGATGAAATAGAAGAAAAATGTGCATCAGCAAATAATATGGCGATATTGTGAATAAGATATATTAGTATGGTTTTTAATCTTTTTTTATAACATAAGGCCAAGAAAGCTGCTCAGAATCACTGGAAATTGAAATGGCATGTAGTCCAGTCAATAAAACATTTCATGTAGGAAGAAAAAAACTGAACTAAATGCCAGTTTCTGGGGAGGAAAATTTTTTTCATAAAACATCAGTCCTGTGATCATGGGGTATTGCAAACAGTCGTAAATGAGCACTAGGTCAAAGCACCCAAAATGCAATCATGTAACTTCAAGGGAGGCCTGGATGTTGTAACTTCAGAACTGGGTCATAAAGAGTTTTGGAGAATCCATTCTAACTTAGACCAGTTATTAAACATAACTCAAGGGCTACCTGTATTCATAAGGCAGGTTCACGAGTTTAGGATCAGTTCTGTTTGCAGTTTTTGTTTGTAAAAACGTCAAAAATACCTTCCCTCAACAATTTGAAAACTTTATGTCCTATTTTTTTAAAAAAATGCTTTTGAAATGTCCATGTTCCATTTGCAAATGTTTTTTTTTTATAGTTCTTTCAGATATGAAATTCCTAACATAGAAAAAGGGCACCAGGATGTTGATGAATATATTATCTTCCAGAGACAAAACTGACAGGGTATTTGCAATGCAACCTCTCTGAAGCTATTACTCTGCCTAAAATAAAAAGTCACCGTGACAGAGGTGCTAATTAGTTAATCTGAACTAACTTTCAAGGTAGGCTGGAAAAGATCCTGGAAGATGGAGAAGTTAAAAGGGCAAGAACATAGACATTTGGTGATTAAAGAAAGTTGGCAATTATAAATAGGACAACGGTAAGAACTGGTAGAAGCGTAGTTGGAAGACAGGTGTGAAGGAAGAAGGAACGAGGAAAAGGAGGCATAGAGAAATTAATGAGAAGGTAGTGAACAAATATTGCTGTGGTTACAGTCAGGAGATCTTGCAGTAAGAAGGAAATTGAAATGCTAGCAGGATGATCTGAGAAGGGGAAAGGCCCGGTAGATGGAGAAAACAATGGCTGGAGGCGATCACGATAACGAGAGGAAAAACCAAGGTAGCCTACAGAAACTCTCCTACAAGGTTGCAAGGTCTCAGAAGTTTCCCCGAGCCACTGAGATGCCAAAGGAGTGAGACTCAAGATGAGGCATACAAAAAGTAACCGTTTTTTTATTTATGGCCAAATAAAAAGACTGGGTGAATACTATATCCAAAACATACAGACAAAATGCATGTAAGGAATAGTCACACCCTTGGGAGAGTAGCTCAGAGTATTATATACATTTTACCTCGTTGGAAACAAAGTTTACCCCATCAGAGAAAAAAGTTTGTTACCAACGTGGTCTTTAAAGCGTTCTTTGTTCAGTCCCCTGTCTGTGTCCACTTTATCAATGAAGCATTCCTATAGCCTTGTGTAGAGGCGGTTTCCCTCTCTGGTCAAGTTGCTCATTCAGCCCAATAATTTCAGGATTCAGAATCTATGAGGCAGGAAACTCCCTACTCTGGTTTCTTTATCTATGGGGCCTGATATTCCTGGGTAATGGTTTCTTCTATATTTTCAAGGATGTGCCTAACTTTGAAGCCAAGAACAGAAGCGAGATACAGAATTGGATAACAAACTCTGCAGTAATGCCAATCAGTATCCAGACTACAATAAGCTAGAATTAGTTCCTAACAACTATTTTCTCACTGTATACAATAATGTGAGGAGAAGTCAATTAGAAAGCTTAACTCCTAAAAAATGTTTTCTGGCAGCATATAATATCAGAAGCAAACAGCAAAATATTGGTTTGATCACTTTGCTCCTTCAAGGTCATAACAAGCAATCCCCAACAAAGTCAACAGCAAAGAAAGGCCTACCTGATGAATATGAAAGCCACAGCAGGAGTATATTTCCACTTCCCCAGCTTAATGTATTGGGTACATGTACTACAATTTCTATCATTCCTATTCGCTGTCGCTTATGGCCATTCTGATTGAGAACTGTAATCCAGATTCATGAGGATATCCATCATATTAAGCAAGACTGATATATGCAATGTAAGGATTATTCATGTTTAGTAATAATTACATGGGAGGACAATTTTGTCCTGTTGCTATTATTGCTTCTTGCTGCATCAGTCCTGACAATTGCTTCTATGATGCATTATTTTTCTGCATGGATGTATTTTTTATATGAGGAAGTATTTTTTTAAAAAAAATCGGTGCTCTGCTGCAGTCTGAAAGAGATAAGACTTGTACAGAAAAATGACAGATCCTATGCTAATTTTTTTCCCATTCATGAAAACACAAATGTTTTACTCTCCCTTTGTATATTTGTGTATACATGCACTGATGCATTGCATGAGAATGGCAGTTTATGACTGATCCATATCTAGTGTTACAATATAAATGGTTTGAAAACTAGGGATTAATAAATCTAAATAAATGCAATTTTGATTTAGTGCACTATGTGGATCTTACTATTATTTTTCAGTGGGATATTTGATTTAACTGCTAAGAGAGAGAGAGAGGTGGACACACACACACACACACACCCACACACTTTTTCATGATGAAATTCAGACTTTCTAGCCATCAGCACTTTGTTAGTTGTGAATGTATTAAAGTTGCTTCATATTTCCTTAAAATTTGATTTTGCAATCCCTCAAGAATTAATTAGAAAACTTTCAGTGTTACTGTGAACATTCAACATCAAGGTTATTAACTTTCTAATGCATAACTCTTACAATAATTTAAGTTGGCTGCCTTTAGGTTTTGTATTAATTTAATTTTATTTGTTTTTCCCCTTCAGAAAGGTAAGAAATAGAAGGGATTGTATTAACTACAACAGGACAAGTTTTGCAATAGGACCAGCTCATGAGCTGTTCACCTACTTTCTTAAAAAATGCTTACTATGGTTCATTAAACAAACGAAAACTTCATCAGAGCAAGGAGATTTAGATTAGATTTTTTCTCTCCGTGCTTGAAAGACTCCATTGACGAACTAGCAGGAGCTGCCAAATCTATATTCCAACAGGTTGTCCAAAATAAAGAATGTAACCATTTCATTCTGAGATGCAATTTTTGCAAATTAAAATTATTTCTCCATGCTTCCTGCCACTCCATTATGCCTGAAGAAGATGGATGAGCTTCAGCCTAGTCGAAAACCCTATGGTGTCCCAAACATCATACTCTAAACAGCATCTCTTTAATGTGGGATTTGGGGGGGGGGGGCACCTACAACTCTAGCTGTTGAAGTGACCTGTGTCATCCACAGCCTGTTCACTTTGTAAAGAAATGGCATTTCAGTAACTGGGGAGAAAAGGCTTCTGATTACTGAGGCACAGACAGAAAAAAAGGTAGTTTTTTTCTCCTTTCGGAAAATGAATTCATAACCCAGCAGCTCAGGAGACAAGATAGGCTGATAGCAATCCAAAGAGATGATTTTGATCTCATCCCATCCACCCTCACCCAAGTATTTGGAAGCTTCTCACTTACCCAGAATGGGGATGATTCATGCTTACAGAATAGCTCTTTTTGGTGTGGGGAGGATGCACTGGAAACCCAAAGGGCAGCTTTGGGGCGCTAACAGGCTGGATGCTTTTTAAATGAGAACCTTCATTCTCAGCACCTGGAGGCTGCGCTGCCTCGCCTCGCCTCGCCCGGTGCCAGCCAGAGCCCGCACCCAACTGATGCCCTGGAGGGGGGGGGAACCCGCACCTCACCTCGCCCCCACCCACCCACCCCCTCCAACCTCCTGCATCAACGCAGGTCTTCGCGTTGCTAAGGGAGGACCACGTGGTGATGCTTTGAAGGAGGTGGGCGCAAAGGTCTCCCTTGACCCAATGAATTGGGAGACTGCGCGGGCTCTCCGCGCTGATAGGGGAAGCCGAGTGCCCGTTTCTGTCAGTTGCCAGTTCCCCGGGCTCCTGTAACCCGACGCTGATTAGTATATGGGGAGAGGGAGGGAAAAGCAGAAGCGAACTGCTTACACTGTCCTAGCGCAATGCTCCAACTTGACTTAGAGCGAATACCTAGAGGTTCTATGCTCAAAAGTGAATGCTGATGGTGTTAGGAGTCTCCCTGACGGGGTTAAGGTAAAGGCTGGCCGGCCGCTCCCTGAAGATGGAAATTATTTAGTGTCCCCACGGAAGGATCAGGCCCGACGTGTCATCAAGAGCTTGACTCTTCTAAACTTAGATCCCTGCAATCTGGGAGGAAGTGACCACTCGCAGGGTGCAGCTTCCACAATCGCAGAGGTAGGCGCCTGCCTCCAAGGTATTTGCATCTTCCCCCCCAAAAAAGCTACAGAGTGCAGTAAAGAGGCTGGAAAGAAAGGATACAAAGGAGAATCGCTGCATGCATTTAAAAGTCGGTAAACGGACCAGAGAAAATCCCAAGCACATCTTTATTCCGAATGCAGTGCAAAAGGCGATTCTTTCACCTGCCCTACTTTTAAAATACAACGTGTGGCCAATTTGAGTATTTTCTCCTTCAAGGTAATGTTTCAGTGCTGAGCCCGTTTAACTTAGTTAAAAAAAGAAAAAAAGCATTTGTAGAAAGGCACATAGTTGAGATGGATAGAATCGCACCCAGGTTAGAGATTTCCCTTTTGACTCATGGTCCTAGAACTAGAAATGTCAGATGAATCAAGAGAGAATAAAGGAATTGTTTCTTTTCACTGGATACGCTGGCTGATCTTGAAAAATTAAACAGAGTTGGGTTCATTAATACTGGGATGGGAGACCACTAGGAAATCTTAGGGCTATAAGCCGGACAAAGCAATAAAAAATAAAAAACCTCCATAAGGAGAAGAAAAAACTGTTTTATAGTGATCTCAAGAAAACAACTGGGATTGGTACTTGGAGGTTCCATCTAGAGAGTACTTAAAAGGGGCTATTGTTTAATATACATGTAGCAATGGCTACATACTTTGATGATTTTCCAAACAATGAAGCGTATTCATGATGAGACTTCTACCTATTGTTACTCCTGATAATTAAACAAAATGTTCACAGACTGTGTACTATGAATGCCAGGGACTGAAGAACAACATCAGCATTCTTATAGGCTTCTTGAAGATGTCTAGTTAGCTCTCTAGTATGATGTAGTAAGTAATTAACTGTTGGACTAGGGGAGTCAGGGTTCAAGTCCAACCTCAGCCACTGGAANATATATATGATTTAAAATATATAATTTGATATGAATCGTAGGTGATGACTGGAAGAGATGCACGAAAGTTTTCTGTAACCAATTGACACACTTTCTACAATTTGTAGTGGAAGATGGTTTTTTGGTGTTTTTTGTGTTTTGCTTGTCTGGGTTCTGGGTCAAAACTCACTTAACAACTGTCTCACTTAGCAACAGAAATTTTGGGCTCAGTTATGGTAATAAGCCAAGGACTCCTTGTACAGCCTTAGAGATGGAATTCACACAATAGCCCCATTTCCCTTTTTCATGTTGAGACATCCTTAATGGGATTAACACATATTAAAAAATTATATTTTATTATCTAAATAAGAGGCGAGGGATGCTGTCCCAAATGGCAGGAAAAAAGCATAATATACATTTTTTCAAATGCCACATCATCAAGAAAGAGAATAAGTCAAAGAGAATATGTGATTATTAATAACCTGGCCATTTTTTAAAAAATCAACTTTCTAGAGTTTGTCAGGAACAAATGAACGGACTTTTATTGTTCTTTGCCTATAGTACAGGCTGGCAGCTTTCATTTGGGAAAGCCGCTAAGGCGTTTGGGGGTGGTATGTGAGACCTTAGAACTCTTGTGTCGATCAATCAATCTTTAATATGGTCAAAGACCAGCAAATAAAAGCATTAAAACAATAATAGTAAAAAATAAAACAAACAGAATAATATATTGTGATTGGTAGTGGATTAACAGTGGGCACTTAAAAGTTGCCTAATTTTACATACAGCATATCAGAATTTGGCCACATTCAGAGAAACTACTTCATACTTATCTGATAACCTCTTGTGTTTACATGATGAGTCTAGGCTGATTCCTCGTTTGAGCCCTATTCCCATCTGGGATGGCTGGTCTCCAATAGATGCCTTCAACAATTTGTTAGGCAAGTTAATCCTTGACATACAACCATAACAGAGTTTGTTCATTACTATTGTAACTTCAGAATGAAGACAGAGGCTCGTTGTAATGGTAACACTGTAACCACTTTAATTCACTATTAACTNAATATAAGCATCTGAATTTTGATCACATGACCATGGGGATACTACATTGGTCATAAGTGTGAAAAATGGTCATAAGTCACTTTTTTCAGTGCCACTGTAAGTTTGAACGGTCACTAAATTAACTGTTGTAAGTCGAGGACTATCCGTATGAGAGCCAGTTTGGTGAAATACAGTGGTGGGATTCAATTTTTTTTACTACCAGTTCTGTGGGTGTGGCTTTGGGGGTGTGGCTTTGTGGGCGTGGTAGGGGAAGGATACTGCAAAATCCCCATTCCCTCCCCACTCTCAAAATTTCCACTACCGGTTCTCCATAACTGTCAGAACTGGCTGAATACGACCTCTGGTGTCATAGTTAAGGCTGTGGTGGCACAGTACTACAGGCTACTTCTGCTGACTGTCAGCTGCCTGCAATTTGGCAGTTCAAATCTCACCAGGCTCAAGGTTGATTCAGCCTTCCATCCTTCTGAGGTTGATCAAAATTTTGAATCTCCCCACTGGAAAGGATCTCCTGCTCGAGCAGATGGTTGGACTAGATGATCTCCAAGGTCCCTTCCAATTGTATTCTGATTCTGAGACATGTATTTCTCCTCTTATTTCCAAAGAGGCTACTTTGCAGTACATATGCAGCATAATTTCATTGCATTTCTACTAGGAATTTCTGCACACACTTGAGTACATACAGTACATCCTGAATTTACAAAATACCGTTAATGCTCTACCCTTCATTACTTTAGCCCTACCTGGGCTAAGTGCAAAAAGGAGGTCTGACGCTTCAGGGAAGAAACAAATCTCCGTCCAATTGGTAATTTCTTTGCTGCAAGTTCTTCTGGTAGATTTTCTAGTGCAGAAATAATCCAGTATTCCCAGTTTTTAGCAAAATTTCTTATATCAGCCAATATTCTGAAACAAAAATAAAAAGTTTGGAATCCATCCCTACAGAATGACATGGGCAGGTTCATGTTATATGATTAAAAAATATTAAGAGCTTCATCCAGAAAAGTGGTGGTTCAACACAAAACAGACTTCACAGTCTGAATTTAATAGGAAAACTACATGGCCAGAACCAGAAAATTAGATGTACAGTTAAGACTGGGAACAAGGATTTCCACTTATGTTATACATCAGTGTTGGCAAACCTTTTTGGCACCGAGTGCCAAAATGGGACCATGTCCATGTGTGTGTGTCTGGGGGGGGGGAGCACCAGAAACCGGAAGAGCAGTTCCCCTGCTTGTATGAGGGCGCCAGGAAGCTGAGCTTCTGATATGCGCATGCGTGCCAGTCACCTGGTCTTGCAGCTGGCCAGTGCATATGCATAATGGTCAAAACACTATTGTCAAATTAAACAATGAGCCTGTTATTGCAGACATTTCATGACCAAATTAAGTAACATCATTAGTGCTAGGTGCAAGAATAAGAGATGTACCTTAATTTATTTTCTAAAAGTCAAGAAACAAAAAAACCCAATCTTAGCTCTACGAAAAAAATCCATATTTTGGAAAATAAGCCCTTTTCTTCAGTGAGTGGCATTCTTAAAAGGAATTCTTATGTTTTCAATAATTTCACCTACAGTGCTACCTACCCTTCTGGCATTTCTTGCATAGTTGCAGGGATGAGTACATCTATAAGGACCTTGAATACAGAAGGAGGAAAATTAATATCTCTATAATCTATCAAGTGCAATGAATCAGGCTAATAGGCCCTGTTATTACTTTGTTGTAAATAAAAAAAAAAGTCACTGTATTGCAAATAAGAATGTATTAATTGATGACTCTTATTGTGTTTTCATACACATGACTTTTTGCTCAGTACAGGATATGGCAAAGATACAGTATTTAGCTGAATTCCCTGCTCATATTGGCTCATAGATGGTAGACTGCATGGTGTTCCCTCAATAACATGAGGCCAGGGTTGAAATGCTACTGGTTCGGACCAGTTCACCTGAACTGGTAGTAAAAAAATGCTACTGGTTTTGGAGAACCGGTACTTCTGACGATCAGCTGTGCAACAATCAGCTGTGCTGCTTGATTTATATTTGCTAGAAAGCAGGAAATCCTGCTGCCTAGCGAATCTAAATTGTGCAGCACAGCTGTTCCCGCCCCCACCCCCCCACTGTTCTACTTACCTTTGCAGACTCAGAAAAGGCTTCTTAATCCTCCTTTTTCAGCGCTGCATGGTAGTGCCGGCAGTGCACATGCATGGAAAGTGCGTGTTTGGCATGCATGTGCGCGCAAAATGAACTGGTAGCAAAGTGAACCGGTAGTAGACTTCAGAGCATTTCACCCCTGCATGAGGCCCTTGGTAGAAGTGTATATATGTGCATTTATGGGATAGAACAGCAAACTGTCAGAGGTAAATTCTAAATTGGTCTTGAACTGCTGGAAATAGTAAGGTATGTTGCAGCCTATTAGGAGGCCATCTACTAGTTAAAAATGGCTTCAGTTATGTATTGCATGAGGCTCCTCCTGTCAGTATAATCGCCATGAAATAAAGGATGCATCCAAATGGGTACAATTTA